TGTGTGTGTGTGTGTGTGTGTGTGTGTGTGTGTGTGTGTGTGTGTGTTTAAGGATGCCAATGGAGTCCTGAAGAGGGCACTAGAACCCCTGGAGCTGGAGTCATAGATAGTTGTCGGCCACCCAACATGGTGAAACAGAACTCAGGTCCTCTGTAAGAGCAATATATGCTCTTACGTCTGGCTCTAATTTTTTTTAAATTAATTAGTTATTTTTTTGAGATAGGGTCTCACTATGTATCCCTGGCTGTTCTGGAGCTCTCTATGTAGATCAGACTGGCCTTGAACTTACAGAGCTCCATCTGCCTCTGCCTCCCAAGTGCTGGGATTAAAGGCTTGCACAGCCTCGCCCTGACTGGTTTATGGTTTTAACATGTCCATGTGGGGGTGTGAAAGTGACTTGGCTGTAACATGTGACCCAATGGCTGGCTGTCAAGGCGGGTTCTCCACTCGCTTCCTCACTCTTCTGCCCGTGTTCCTCCCAAAGCTGCATGCCTGGTTGAAGAAGATGACCTTCCCCACAGAGAAGGACCAGTTCTGGGTCAGGGGCACACAGGTAGCTGCACTCTTCTGCAAGGACATCCAGACACACTCTGAACAAGGCCACGTGCCCATATGTTCCCAGTCTCCTTTGACAGGTTTGTCGGTAGAACCTTTTACTTATAGGGACCAGTTCTTTATCATTCTGTGTCTCACAGGTGGTACTGCCTATGTGCTCAATACGCAGGATCAACCCACTTCTATATCTGTACAAATGCTGCTTTGTAACATGAAGTTGCCGAGGGCAAAGCACAATTCCGAAAGTACAGCACAGCCTGATCTCCATCAGCTTCCTTCTAGGACTTTCTCATTGTAAACTACCAAGATGTCTGGTCTCTCCCCAGCCAAATTTGGGGTGGGTCTCTTATTTACTCTGGGGACTTCTTTTTCCCATCAAACTGTTTCCAAGACTACTTCTGCCGGGCACGGTGGGTGGCTCACACTTGTGATCCCAGCACTCTGTGAATTCAAGGCCAGCTTGGTCTACAAAGCGAGTCCAGGACAGCCATGGTTGGCTACACAGAGAAACCCTGTCTCAGAAAAACAAAACAAAACAACTAGTTCTATTTAATGAGATTGCCTTCCTGTCATATATCATCCAATCACAGCCTGTGGCTTTGTTCATCTTGGCAACTCTCTCTGGAAGTACTATGTCTTAGTTACTTTTCTGTTGCTGTGATAAGACATCACACCACGACAGAGGCGACTTAGGAAAGAAAGGGTTTAATTTGGGGCCTACAGAGGGTTGATGTCCATGATGGTAGAACAAAAATATGGCAGCAAAAACAACTGAGAGCTTACTTCTCGATCTTCAAGTGGAGAGAGAGATAGACAGTAGCCGGAGTTGGTGGTACATGCCTGTAAGCCCAGCACTCTGGGAGGCAGCAGCAGGCAGAGCTCTGTGAGTTTGGGGCCAGCCTGCTCTACAAAGTAAGTCCAGGATAGCCAAGGCTACACCGAGAAACTCTGTCTCAAAAGAGAGAGAGAGAGAAAGATAGAGAGCGAAACAGGAATAGCATTTGAAACTCCAAAGCCCTCCCCCAATGAAACATCTTCCTCCAAAAGGCCACACCTCCTAATCCTTCCCAAACAGTTCCACCAATGTGGGAACAAGTAGTCTGAAGAAGCCCTTCTCATTCATTAAAACTACCACACAGTGTCCACACACAGTATCCACACACAGTATCCAAAATGGGCTTGTGTTTAAGGGGCTGCACTCTTAAGAGATCTCACAAGCCACGTGGTGGTGCTGCTTGCTTTAATCCCAGCACTCAGGAGGCAGAGACAGGGAGATCTACAGAGTGAGTTCTAGGACAGCCTGTACCCTCAGTAAATGAGAGGTCCTGATTGGACAGGGTTGGTTCAGAAATCTACAGTCTTGGACTGGTAAGATGGTCCAGTGGACCCCAACCTTATTTTTCATATTTTTGTTTGTTTGTTTTCCAAGGTCTCCTTGTATAGTTCTTGTATAGTCCTGGCTGGTTTGGAACTCTTATGTAGACCAGGCTGGCCTTGAACTCACAGAGATCTGCCTGTCTTTGTCTCCAGAGTGCTGGTATTAAAAGCATGTGCCACCATACCCATCCTTGACCTTACATTTCTTAAGTCTAGTGTGTACCTTTTGGGGTGTGGATATCAAGCAGGCTCCCAGGGACTTGGTCGAAAAGGGGTCCAGATCATTTGTTTTCAAAGCAAATGACGCAGTCAGTTCTGAAGCTGTGTGTTTTGCAACAACCCCCTGCAAACAAACAAACAAACAAACAAATAAATGTAATAAAAATATTAAAAAAGCAAAAACTTTGGAGGAAATTGGGCACTACATTTAACCTGACAGATCTCTGTGAGTTTGGGGCCAGCCTGGGATTGCTTCAGAAGGTCCATGAATGAATTAACTTTGTAAACTGGTGGAAAAGGCCTGTGGGCCCTGTGAGTGACAGTAAGAAAGACTACTGCTAAGCCCAAAGCTGAACACATGCCACCAGCTCCTGCCAGGTCCAACGTTAGCAAGACCACAATTGCTATTAAGACCCTCAGACAGGCCATCAGTGGTTCTGAACTTGCATAATGCCTAAACCCTGCCTTATCATCAGCAGGGAGGGGACCGGCCTGGAAACCGAGGGAGCTGAAGTTTCACCGGCTGCCCCTCTCCACCACACTCCCAGAATAGCCCATGAGTTCCCGGCAGTCTGAGCTACACCGCAACCGGGCTTCCGGCAAAGAAAGACAGTCAAGCTCCAACAGCAGTTAGAACAGCTGGCCCTGGATACAGCCCTGCAGCCAGCTGGCTGGCCCCTCCCTGCCCTGCCCTGCTAGAAGCACCATCTCTGGTGAGTGCAGGCAAATGAGGCCTCCCCATGGCCCCCTGGCTGTCCTCCATCACCAGAGGTCTAAGCTGGGTTCAAGAGTATTAGTGCCCTCAAATTTCAGACAAGGGGGTGGGCAGTGAGTGACTGGGTCTTTTAAAAGTTTTGTTGAGGGCTGGAGAGATGGCTCAGAGGTTAAGAGCACTGGCTGTTCTTCCAAAGGTCCTGAGTTATAACCAGATCTGGTGTACAGGCAGAATGTTGTATAAATAATAAATAACTCTTAAAAAATAATTTCTTTCTTTAAAAAAAAATAAAAATAAAAGTTTTGTTGAGCAGGCGTGGTGGCAAGAGGCTGAGACAGGAGGATTGCTATGAGTTTGAGGCAAACCTGGACTATCTGAGTGAAACCCTGGCTAAACTAACAGCAATGACAACAAAATCAGAGGCTGCAGATGTGGCTCATTCGGGAGAGTGCTTGTTCAGCACACCTGGGTCCATCCCTAGCAGTGAATAAGCCAGTTGTGGTGGAGCCCACTGTAATTTCAGCTCACAGGAGGCAGGAGGATCAGAAGTTCAAAGTCATCCTTGGCTTCACAGCCAATTCTCGCCCACACTGGGTTACCTGAGATGGTATCTTAAAGATCAGTCAATCAAACAAACAAACACAGTAAATAAATAAGGCTCTGTTTTTCTCAGCATGTCGGTGCTGGCTGGATCGGCTGGAGAAGAGCCGTGCTGGTGGTGGCCACAGAAGCTGGTGAGCAGCCAAATGGCTGCAGGCTGCGGAGAGTTGAAGTGACCAGTCGGAACAATGGCCACCAGTGGAGAATGGAAACAGGCTGTGGCTGGCCTCTGAAGGGGAAAGACTGGCTGGAGGAGGGAGGACGGTTGGGCGCCCTGTGGGCTTGCCAGCAGGTGCGCTCTGCAGCCCTCAGTTAGCCTCCATAGACCCTCACAGACCTTCCATCTGCTACCTCCCTTTACAGGCGTGAACCAGAGCCTCGCCATGTGCAAGCAGTGCACCTTGGTTGAAGACACACATACATAAACAACAGTCCACTAGGCAGACAGCGGTAAGGCTGTGCGGGGGGTGTGTGTGTGTGTGTGTGTGTGTGTGTGTGTGTGTGTGTGTGTGCATGTGCGCACACGCGCGCGGATAGTCCAACCCAAAGGCAAATGGTCATAACTCACGGCTGGTTTTAGCCTCTGTGAATTTGTTTATTAAAAAAAAAAAAATCTATAAAATAGAGACAGCAATAGCTGCCTCGTGGAACGCTTTGCTACTATCCGTCTTGTGAGATCTGTTTATCATTTGGATAGCTACAGGACGGTAAGCATCATTTGGGTAAGAGACAGAAATGGTTTAATGCCAAACAGAGGCAAACCGCCACCGGTGCTGTATTATCAACTAGGCTTCCTCCCTGAGCCCATCGGCCCCAGACCTGGGGCTCCAGCGGCCTGCCTGGTTACGGGGTTCTTGTCGACTCCAAACTCTCCGCCCCTACTCCTATCCCTTTACAGAAGGCTGAGAGCCTCCTACAGGCCTTGACAATCAATCCAACCAATCCACTGGTAGTTAATGCCTCCATTTTACCTGTGTACCATTCTATGCCAGGGGCTGCTGGGAAGAAGAGCTTTGGAATCTAGAATCTATTCCCAGTAGAGACTATCAGGGGGCATGGGTGAAGGGTTAAGAAAGATATGCATGCCTAAGATATCATTAACAATACAGTTCGTTGGAAGGAGAGATGAGGATCCAGAATTCAGATACTTGGGGAGGCCATCTCAAAAACAACTTTAAAAATTAACACTGCAAAGAGTAAGGCCAGGAGAAGGGGCCACACCTGTAGTCTCAAAGCTCGGGGGACAGAGAGGCAGGGAGGTCGTGTGTTCAAGGTCATCTTTGGTTACTTATAGAATTTGTGATCAGCCAAGCTAAGCAAAATCAATCAACCAACTAATCAAACAAACTGTAAATAATGAAAGATTCCTAGGTACGTACCAAGAAGGAGGACAGGACTCTGGTGTCGCTAGCATTCTTTACAGTAGAATCCTTAGGGCTTCAAACCAGGGATGGGGCAGGTCCCCGATGGGCTGAGAGATGGGGAGGGCATCCTGGATTGAGAATGGGGGCCAATGGGAGGGAGCCACAGGAAGGCCAGTGTGGGAGGCTGATTCAGGCCTCTCTGGCTAGAGTGACTATTTCCTGTGGGGAAGAGGAAGGATCTTCCTTAAGTACAGGCCAGAAGGACTGAAAATGCAGAGACAGGAATTTGTACTTCGACTTAGGGGCCCAGGGGAGCTGTTATCAGCTATGATCATTGTAAGTGACCGTCCCTCACTAGGTTGGGTTTTGCAGGACCACAGGAAGGTGAGTAGTGCAGTATGTTTGGAGGGTAAGGGCTCAGCCCCTGTAAGGTTCTCAGACTGGAGTGACACTCTCTGAGGTAGGGCTATCCGAATGCCATGTGGTTTCTGTCTTGGTTTTGGAAGAGCTGGGTGAGTTCATCGGCTTAGTTCTCAGGAATGTTAGCTCCACTGGTGAGGACTGGCCAACCCATAAGAAAATCTTAGAAAATCCTGTTCTTCCTTCCCTGGGGAGTTGGTTACTGCCATTGAGCCACTGAGCTGTAGAAGGGGGCGGGTGAGAGGTTGACACCAGACAAGGCAGGCACAGGTTTCGTGGAAGGGTTCAGCGTCAGGTGACATTCCAGCAGGCTCTACCCAAAGCCCGCTTCCTGGTACAATTCCTGAGAGGTCAGCCATGGGCAGCGAATAGTGGTGAGTATTTAACTCCCTTGGATCCTGGCTTCCTGCTTCTTAACGTGGCTGCCCTGGTATGAATCCTTTCAAAATAACCAAGCTGTCTCAGCTCTGCAGGAAGCCCTGGGAGCTCCAGGGGAAAGGAGCTGGGCACATACTGCACCTGGAGCAGCTGTGGTTAATACAGGCAAGGAGAGGTGAAACACCAATGTTTACCAGCAGCTGTGGGTCTCCCAGCCACCCCCAACTCCACACACAGGGTTCCAGAGCCCACCTCGGCTCATTGTGGGATGACCTGCCTGCCTTTTTCCCCCTACCCCCTAAACTTCTTTTTTTCTTTCCTTCTTTTTTGGGGTGGGTGGATGGATAAGACATGGTCTCATGTAACCCAGGCTAGCCTCTAGCCCAATATATAGTCAAGGAAGAATTTATAATCTCCTGTCTATCTCAAGTGCTGGGATTACAGGAATTGCCAGCATGCCTGACTTTGAGAGACTGTGTTTAATCCATCAGGACCCTGGTCTCTAAGCCAGAACTGGCCTTCCTGGCTCCCTTGAGAGAGTCTAGGCGTGACTTGTAGCACGCAGATTGGCTATACCCATGTATGATGAATGTATCATGTATCATGTATAATGGGTTAACAGGGTTTTGCCCCAACTTTTTTTTTTTTTTTTTTTTTTTTAAGACAGAGTTTTTCTGTGTAGCCTTTGTAGACCAGGCTGGCCTTGAACTCACAGGAATCTGCTTGCCTCTGCCTCCGAGTACTAGGATCAAAAGTGTGCACCACATCCAGCTCTCCCTGGCTTATGTCATGGAGCCTTACTAGCTGTATCACGGAAAGCTAACTTCTCTAGCAGGCATAAGCCTTTCTGTTACAGGAAGCTGTAACACCGGTGAGGTAACAGGGTAGGTAAGGCATCATTTGTAAGGTCACTGGAAGGTGGTAGTCTGCAGTGATTTGCACAGAATGGGAGGTTTACGAGCTTCCACTAAAAAACCTATTATGTGTCATTGCTGTATGTCGGATGATAGGACCAGAGGTCCCTGCTCTTAAGAAAGGCAGTTCTAATTGGAAAGACAATTTAGAAGGTTAATTAAAACACACTAGAATAAATTATAAATAAGAGAGCACACGGTCGGCTTAGTGAACAAGGCAACTCAGGTGGTTCTCTCTTCTAAAAATACTTTCTAAGATAGATCTGTTTTATGCGGATAACTGTTTGGCCTGCATGCATTGTATGTATGCTTACCACATGCATGCCTGGTGCCCAAGGAGGTCAGAAGAAAGAGTTCTGATGGCAGTGAGCTACCATGTGGGTGCTGGAAACTGAACCTGGGTCCTCTCCTAACTGCAGAGCCACTTCTTGATCCCACGTAAGATAGTCCTTTCTGAGCCAGGGGTGGCGGCACACACCTTTATAATCCCAGCACTCAGGAGTCAGAGGCAGGTGGAAACTGGAGTTCAAGGCTAGCCTGGTCTATATAGTGAATTCCCAGACAGCTAGGGCTATGCAGAGAAACCCTAGTTCTTTCTGGGGGGAATGAGGAAGGCTTCTCAGAGAAGGGACGCTGAGGCAGGGCGGAGTTTGGAAAATATTTTTCTCTGACAAAGACAAGGAGTAGAAGGAACAGAGCCCGGAGACAGAAAGCCCAGCACAAACCAGAGCTCAGGAGGGCCCAGCCAGGCAAGCCTTCTTTAGTGGTGGTGAAATGGAATTGAAGGAATGCTGGAGAAGCAACTTCTTCCAGTGTGTGGTTTCAGAACAATTAGCTGCCTTTTTGTGGAGAGGTCTATGGCTCAGAGGGCTGGAGCATCACACAGGGAAGAATCCGTCTGTAAGTGCCAGGCATGTGTGTGTGAGGGGGACATTCTAGACAAGTTGTATTTGGGGGGATGTGTCATCATTCTCATTTTCGAAAAGAGGAAAGTGAGGGGTTAGAGGGATGAATTGGCTTGGCCAGCCACACTGCCAGCAGGCACTTTTTTCCCCCTAAGATGAGACAGGGTATAGCCTTGGCTGTCCTGGACTCACTTTGTAGACCAGGCTGGTTTTGAACTCACGGATACCTGCCTGCTTCTGCCTCTCTGAGTGCTGGGATTATAGGCATCCACCATTGCTCCTGAGGCGGGTGGCATTTCTAAGGCTCCAGGACTGAGGGGCCCTCTGGTAGCTCAAAGATGGGCCCAGTGAATGAAGATGGTGTCAGCCTGCCTTTCAGCAGGAACTCAAGGACTCAGAGCAGGGGGAAGGTGAGGACGGAGCTGTGTTCCCTACCAATCCAGGAGTGCCTGCAAGGGCAGATGGGCAGTTTCAGCAATGGACCGTTTCTGATGCCTACCGTATTTTTTTTTTTTTTTTAATGCAGAAATAGAGTAGCTATTGGGTTAAATGAGTGTGGGAGGCATTAGGGAACATAGATATTCCTGTGGTTGGAGTCAGAGAGAGCAGCTGAGGGCCCACAGAACTTTCAGGCTCTGCCTGTCTCAAGCAGCAGCCCACAGCAAAGAGATGACTCAGCAGCAGGGTCCCCAACTCTTTCTCCCTAGACCTAAGCAGGATGCAATATGGATCTTGGAGAACCAGAGATTGGAATCATCTGCCCAGAGGGACTTGCTTTGTCCTTTGAAGGCAGATTTTGTTCCAGAAGAGGGCCCGGGTGAACAGGGAAGCAGAGTTCGGAGAAGATGGCCTCCTTTCTCCTGCCAGCCGCCTCACGAGGCTGGTGGAGGGCAGGGCTCAGTCTGTGGGTCAGTAAGGGAATCCCAGAGGGTGAGCTAGCACCAGATAACCCTGCCGGTGGGAAGCAGGGGCTAAGAGTCGTGGTTTTGTTTTGAGATAGAACGCTGGGCAGTCCAGGGTGGTCTTAGAATGGCCTGGAGTTCCTGCTCCTCTAGGCTGCAGGTGTGAGCCACCAAGCAGGGCAAAAACAGCCCCAGTTTTGGAAAGCGTAGGGAAAGGAGAAGAGAGAAAGGAAATAGAGATGGTTCGGCAGGGTCCTGTCACCAGTCTTACACCATTTCCATCCCCCCCCTCCTTCCCTCCTCAGCTGGCTTTTCACATATGCCAATAAGCCATCTCAGCAGAGTTAGGCGTCAGTCACCTAGTTAATGAAAAGCAGGCAGAGGCCAGAGCGACTTCTTCGGCTCACTTAGGTCTAACCAGTCTGTTTACCTTCTCAGCTAGTGCGAGCACCAACTGCCTGCTCCGTTCAAGCCCCGACACCTGAGCTTGGATCCCCAACCCGGGCCTGGGAGGTGGACCCCTGTGGCAGCCCCGGGCTTTGCCACATCCCCAGACTGGACAGAAACGGCCAGGCACAGGAAAGTATTCAGGGTTCTAGAAAGCGTGGGCCCGGCAGCCCCACCCCTAAGTAAACACTCCTCCTAGAGTCAGAAAGGTGCAGAGCGGCGGTGCTAGGGGAGGAACTGGCCCGAGGTTTATCGCTCCGGCAACTCCGGTGATTTATTGAGTTTAGACTCCAGGTTGTCACAGACGGAGGCACGCAAACACGCAGCGAGCCGGGGAGGTACGGGTGCCCGGCTCCCTGCCCTCTTTCACCTGGCTATCCCCCTGGCCTGTGACCAGTTGCCTCCCCTCCCCCTCGCGGGCGCTCAGCGTTGAGCAAACATTCCCTGCTGCCGGCCTGCCACTGCCACCGGCTGGCTCCGACCGCGCTCCTGGCGATCCCCCAGGCAACCCGGCGTCACGAGAACCCGCACCCTGAGACCCGACGCCCTGCCTCCTCCGAGTCCCCAGGGCCCCTGTCAGGCCCAACAACCTCTCCCTGGCTCTGGCGACTTGTGCCCCCCGGGAATACAGCGCAATCCAACCAGACCCACTCAGTGCTCCAAGGACAGCGTAGCCCACTCCCGCGGGATCCCAGGTCCCTAGAGAAAGTGGCCGAAGGAAAAGAAAAACAAAAAAAACAAAAAAAAACCTCTTGTTCACTGAGCCGGAGAGGCCTCAGCTGGGATTCGCTTCCCTGTTCCTGCGGTTTCTTTTCAGCAGATTCCTGGAGCTGGAGGGGAAAGGGTGGCCACCGGTGAATCCACCCGGACAGGGAGTGGGGGTGTGGTTCAGGGGAATCCTAATTCGTGGACAGGGCCCCCGACTGCGGGAGAGGCTGGGCTCGAGTCAGAAACAACGTGGCCAGGAGCGCCGACCACAGGGATGGCGTTAAACACTGCACCTCGGGGAACAGAACTGAGAAGGCTAATTAGGACAGGTCACCACGGGGAATCGGGACGCGGGGAGGGGAGCCCGCGCGCGATGTAAGAAACTCGGGCGTGGGGTGGTCAGGCGGACAAGGACGCTGGCCCACAGTCCGCAGGGGTTCGGAACTCAGGCCACAGAGTTAGGGGCGTGCGCCGTGGCATCGCGACCTCGGAGACTCCGCTCTCCGCGAAGGATCACGCGCAAGAGGGGCGGGCGCTCAGCGTGTGCGTCCACGTGTGCAAACCCGCTAGGGGAAGGGACGCAGAAGGCGTGACAAAGACGGACTTTGTGTCTTAGCGTGCGCCTCGCTCCAGCCGGGAACGGCGAACTGTGCCAGGCATGTGTCTCGTGGGAAAGCCAGGACGAAAGTGACAAAGGCTGGGTGTCCGTCACGGGGAGACACGCCAAGGTAGCTACCGTGGTCTGTGGGTGCGTGCGATCCCTGGGAGATGTGGCCAAGGGGTGTGCTGGGCTGCACCCCGAACCATTTTCAGGAGAGAAAAGCGAGTCCAGAAAGTGAGTGCGCGCGAGTGCGCGCGCGCGCGCGGGGGCGTGGCGGTAAACAGCAACAACTCGCACGCCAGCTTGCTCAGAAACTCCAATCTCCCCTCCCGACCCGAAAGTGCGCAGCGGCCGAGCCTGGAGGTGAGTCGGAGGGGGAAGGGCCGGGCGCGCTTTGTTACTGGGGATGAGGATTGTAGTACCTGGAGCAACGCTAGCCTCCGGGGAGCGCCCGGAATGGAGGTGATGTCACGGTGATGCAGCCCGGCCCACCCTGGCCGAGAGAGGGGAGCTCTGCGCCTGGGGAGGAGGGCGGGAGAGCCAGCCACTGAGCGCGCCCAGCTCAGTCTGGGGTCCCGGGGAGGCAGGCCCCACACCTCTGCTCAGGCCTGGTCACCCCTGCCGGAACGGGTTCTGGCCCTGCGCCGGCCTCTGAGTCCCTCCTACGCCCGGCGGCGCCCTGCCTGAGGCTGAAGTTGGCTCTCAGCGCGGCGCCGGAGCGGGCTGGCTGCGCGTCCCAGGTAAGGGCTGCTGTCTCCGCGCTCCGCCCTCGCCATCGGGCGGCCGGAAGAGCTAGGTCCAGCTGGCTGGGAAAGGGCGAGGGCCGAGGCCCCGGGTGAGAACCCAAGGGGCGGGCGACGATGCACCCCACTCTGCAAGTTCGCAGAAAGTTTCCAGACCCGAGCCAACTGGGGACTTCATGGGTCCGGGAAGCCGGGTTCTGCGACCGGAGGTGGACGGCAAGGGAAGGACTCCAGGATCTGAGTGTCCGGGGGTGTTCCACTACCCACTCGTGCAGTCGACTGTGACTGTAGGTCGCCATCCTTTCCCTGTTTCGCTGCGGTGCGTTGGGTGGGCAGGTTTCTGTGACCTCCGGGATTAGGAGGAACAGAGCTTGGCTCTGCTCTTTCGGTTCAGACTTCCAGAGGCGCGCGAGCGTAGACCTAATAGGGCAGCGGGAATGGGGAGGCGAGGACGCCGGAGCTCTTCGCGGGAACTTTGGAATTTCAGAGGCCTACGGCGCCTCTCCTTGCGGAGGCCTAGGTTCTGGATCCCAACCCTTTACTCGCCCCTGGTTTTTCCAGAGCGCTTTCCGTTTCCACCTCGCGCCCACACTTTTACACGTACAAAGTCCTGAATCACGTAAGGCTTTGCGATCTTGATCCTGAAGTACAGATACAAGAATATATATATATATATATATATATATATATATATATATATATATATATGGAAGCTTTGTGCTTTGTGCTCCTGGAGAACCTCCTCCCCCAACAGTGTCTGTTATGTGGCTGGGAGGGAGCGCTGGTGGGGGTGGGGCACATTCCAAAGCCGAGAGCAGACCCCTGATTGCTTAGAAGATGTAAGACTCGGCACGCTCGGTATTTTGGTCCAGTTACCCACTCTTGGTTATGAAAGGGAGACGGGAGGACAGTGAACGGGCTGTTCATGCCTTAGCGTTTCCCCAGGGTCCATTCTTACTGGATTCGTTGACTTGCCCACTGGTTAGAGGGCTGAGACAATGGGACGGACTTGTCCCGAGACTGAGGAAAAGGAGGAAGTGGTGGATGAGAGGATAGAGGAAGGCTGGCTAAGTGTCCACCCAGCTTTCCAGGTCAGCTGCTGAGGGGACTCAGCTAGGGAGGAAGAAGGATGCTCTGTGGTGTCAGGCAGCCTTCTTTCCGAGACACCGTGGGGTGTGTGTGTGTGTGTGTGTGTGTGTGTGTGTGTGTGCGCGCGCGCGCGCGCGCGCGCGTGTGTGTTGATGTGGATGCTGATGGGGGAGATGGAGGGGACCTTCTTCTGAAAGATGAGAAAGGTGAAAGTCTGCTGCCTAACCTGTAACCGCTTAAAACCAGCTCAGACTGGCAGAGTCTCAGCCCACCATCCCTGCCAAGGCTTCTCTGCTCCCCCTGAAGACAGAAGGAAAGAGGGTGGGGATTGGGGAACTTGATTGCACTGCCTCTGACCAGAGTTGGGGGCTGGGGAGCTGACCCTGAGGAAAGGCTGATTTCTGAGGTGATTAAAAATATTTGTATGGCTGATTCCAGGGAGGTGAAGCTGAAAGCCCTTTTGTCCAGAAAACAATCTGCAGGGGAGCCTTGGCTGTGGGCTGTTTAGGCTTCTATGGCAGGAGTCCCTGTCCCACTTCTGGCAGGGATGGGTACTATGTCCTTTAGTGGAGTTATTGTGTTCAACGAGTAGAAGAAATCAGAGGGTACCATGTCTCTCCACAACCCTTGAAGACTTAGAACCTGGTAAGGGAGGTGGGTCACATGATTCGAAAGTTAGGCCTCAAGAGGTGTGTGTGTAGGGGGGACAGCGCACAGAAGGTGGTGGGAACAGGTCGAGCTATTTAAGAGTCTCTATGCACGGCTGGTCTCTCTACCTTTTAGCCACCATCTTACCAGGTAGCAGGTGGACAGACACACTACTCAGCAGATAAGAGCACGGGCTGCTCTCGCAGAGGACCTGGGTTCAGTTCCCAGAACCCACATGGTGGTTGATAACTGTTTCTAACCCCAGTTCCAGGGATTCCCTTTTCTGACCTCTGTGGGCACCAGGCACACATGTAGCACACATACAGACATACAGGCAAAACATTCATACATGTGAAGAATCAAAACAAATCTGCCTGAATATGTGCTCCTGGACTGGAACACATGTAGACCAAGCTGGCCTCAAATTCAGATGTGCCGGTCGGTCTCTGCCTCTCTGGTGCTGGGATTAAAGATGTGCATCTTGAGGAGAATGAATGCCTGGTTCTCATCAACTGTCTTGCTCACCTCAGTGGCCTCTGTCCTGCACAGGGGAGAGAGTCCAGCCCATCTGTCCCAGTTTCCCTTCTTGACTGTTTCTGTGCACCCACCTGCTATTCTTTCTGTTTTCCGTGGAAGGAGAACAAACAAACAAAAAAGGACAACAACAACAAAGAGGCATTTTAGCATGGGAATGGAATATTTCAGGGCAGCCCAGTTTTCCATACTGGGGTTTTAGTGACAGGTGAGATTTGAAGGATCAGGTCAAGGCGGAAGCTGTTCATCCCGGAGCAAAGGTAAGAGGAAATGGGACAGGCTTGTCACCGTTCCTAACCCTGGCCCCGGTGTCTGTGGACTTGCTGAACAGCACGTTTCTTCTCCACCTTCTACCTCTTGTTCCCTGGGAGAGGAAGCCAGGACCTTTTCCTTAGACATGCCCACACTGACCTACATCCCCAGCCTTGGGATGACCCGGGTGTCATCAGATGTAAGCCTGCAGTGTGACCTGTGGCACCCTTTCGTCCTGTATCTCCCTGGTCCCCAGGTGTGTGTGTGTGGGGGGGGTTGTCGTTGGGGAGGTGGCAAGAATCTCTCAGATCTGGCCATTATGATGCTTCCTTTGGCCTTACTCCTTAAACCGGATAAGCACTGGCTTCAATAATCAAGGTTTCCCCGTGCTTTTGTGCCTGACACATCTTTGAAAGCTCGGCCCTGCCGATGCTGCCGTCATGCTCAGCACTTACAGAGGCTCTGCATTTCCTTGAACAAGTCCCTCAACTCTTACCCACGCTCGTAACCAGCCCCAGGCTCCTGTACACGCACACCACTCACTTGAACTTCGTTTTCTCTCTCTCGCTCTGAATTTGGGGGCTGAACTTGGGATTCTGACATCTGTCATCTTTTTTCTCTTTCTTGCCCCTTCACTTTTCTAAACTCCTACATCACCCTGTTTAAGGCTTTAACCGCTTTTAGTCTGTGTCTTGTGGCAATGTCTGGGACATAGTACAGTTTATTTTTATTAATTTACCACGATTAGTATTCTTTTTAAAAATATTAACTTTGTGTATATTGATGTTTTGTACGCCTGTACATCTGTGCATCATGTGTGTGCCTGTTGCCAGGGAGACCAGAAAAGTGTTTCTGGGGTTACAGATGGTTGTGAGCTGCCATGTGGGTGCTGGGAATCAAACTTGTGTCCTCTGGAAGAGCAGCCAGAGTTCTTAATCACTGAGGCATCTCTCTAGGCCCCCACTGTTAGCATTCTTGGTACATTTTACGAACTACTGAGTAAAATGCTTTGTGTGGTGTGCTTTCAGATTGTACGTGTGTGTATGAATCCACGTGGAGGTTAAAGTTGACATCTGGTGTCTTCCTGTGTTGCTCTCCACTTTATTTTGTTATTGCTACATTTATTTATTTGTTTACTTTTTAGTGTGTGTGTGTGTGTGTGTGCGTGTGTGTGTGTGTGTGTGTGTGTGTGTGTGTGTGTGTGCAGGCACACGTGAAGACAGTTTACAGGAATCAGATCCAGGATTAAACAGAGGTTGTCAGGCTAGGCTGCAAATGCTTTTACCACTGAGCCGCCCTGCCCACTCATCTTTTATTTATTTATTTGGCCTTGGCTGTCCTGGACCAGGTTGGTCTTGAGCTTGCAGAGATCCACCTGCCTCTGCCTCCCCGAGTGCTGGGATTAAAGGCCTGCATCACCACAGCCTGCCCACAGTCTTACTTTTTAATCGATTATCTTTAACCAGGCATAAAAGCTGTGTAAGCCTTTAATCCCAGCACTTGGGAAGTAGAGGAAGGCAGATCTCTGTGGGTTAGAGTCTATTCTGGTCTACAAAGTGAGTTTCAGGACAGGCAGAGCTATAGAGTGAGATCCTGTCTCAAAAATACATATGTACATACATACACACATATGTATGTAAAAATACATATATATTTATAAAATAATTCTTTGACAATTTCATGCATGTAAACTCTTCGTCTTGATCAGTTGGACTCTTTCCCCAAGCACCCCCAACTCCTGCCTTCTGTTCCCTGCAGGCAGCTCTTAACACATTCCACTCCCCACCTGGTGTTCTTTTTTTGTTAATGATCTACTAAGCCTGTTGGAATATTGACTGGACTTGATGACTTGATCTTGTGGAGGTGATAATAGCTACGGTGCGTTCCCGGGGGCAGTGGCCACCTCACGACCAGCACTTCCCAGGGGCAGTGGCCACCTCACGACCAGCACTTCACCTTCTTTCCATCATGCTCTTCAATGTTCTCTGGTCTGGGAGCATTCTCATTTTTTGAGACAGGGTCTCTCTCTCACTGAACCTGGAGCTTGCCAATTGAGCTGGACTGCCTGGCCAGCAAACCCCAGCAATCCTCCTGTCT